ACAAATTCCGAAAATGAGTATTTTATTAAAAAAAATAAAAATTAAAAAAAATTGTTGAAATTTTTGAATTTAAGGTTACAATATTTATTTGTGATTTTTTGGCGTTAATTTTATTTTTTTTTTTCATATTTTTCATATTTTTTATTAATCAATTACTCATTTTTGGAATGTACCAAAAAAAAACAAAATTTTAAAAATTGTTGAATTTAAGGTTACAATATTTATTTGTGAATTTTTGGTGTTAATTTTATATTTTTCCTATTTTTTATTATCAATTACTAATTTTCAGGATTTACCGAAAAAAATAAAAATTTAAACAAAATTGTTGAAAACGGGTCGGGTAGTTTATTTAAAAGAGGGGGGGGGGGTTGATTTATGGGTCGGATTAGGTGTTAATGGGTTCGAATTTTTTAGGAGCATAATTGATCCCTTTCCATTTTTATATAAATGTCATGTGGTAAAGTCAAAATGACATGGCAATTCCATGTGGTAGTTAAAGAAATGGAAAATGAGCTGGATATGTCCAGCATGCCAACTAACGCCCATAAGGGCATATTTAGACGAAAAGTTGGACGACGAGGGCATGAGTGAGCCAAACTTTAAACAGAGGGTATAACTGGACCTTTTTGAATAGTTTAGGGGCATATTTGACCCTTTACCCTTTGAACAATTTAAAAAATTACATACATCATATATATTAAATAATTTTCTACCCCTTTTTGGCCTACGTGGCACTATCTTCTGGGCCCAACGCGTGTTGACAATTTTTTCAAGCTATCTGGTTGATAGTGCCACATAGGCCGAAAAGGGGTAGAAAATTATTTATAAAATAAGTTAGGAGGGGGGGGGGAGGGTAATAGGACCTTAGTATAGTATAAGTGTCTCTGGGATTTCGAGCATAGGTTGGGGGTACTTATGCATTTTCCCTATATAATTTAAACAAGTAATATTAAAAGACATATCATGAATATTAGTAAAAGTGTAGGATGGTGAAGATGAAAACTATAGAAAGTGGGAATAGAGATAAGGTGTTTAGAGAGAATATCAAATGCATCCAAAATATATCATTAAACCTCTAAGCAGCTAGGTGGCTTTTATCCAAATTATCATTAAGATTTACGGGATCATTGAGTATGTGTGATTCACAATGTACATATAAAAATTTTTTACGTCTCAATCGCTAAATAATAGGTTTAATTTAAATTTGATTTGTTCCATACATTTAACTTTTCTATAGAGAACCTAAACCGTCTAACTATAACCATGGATAAAAGCCGCATTGTTGTTAAAAGATCAAAAGTACTTCTTTCGAAAAATAATAATTTTTTTTTAATAAATTAAAGTGTTTAACAAATCATATATTCACAAGCCATTCGTTTAATAAATTACAGTCGAAGTGATTCTTTAATAACCATGTTTAACTGCATCCAAATTTTACAAACAAATAATGTTAGACTACTTTTATAATCAAAGCATATAAGTTCATCTTTATTCGTTTGTTAAATTAAATATATTTATATTCACTCCATCTTTGTTTAGTTGTCATGGTTTTCTTTTTTAGAGTTAAATGATAAGAACTTTGACTAATATTTTACGATGTATTTTTTTTATCAGATTGATATGCAAAAAATTGCAATTTATAGTACTTTTCGTATAGTTTTTGAATATCTAAATTTTTAATTTAAAATATGTTCAATGTAATCTATTTAACTTTGAAAATAATTCAAATTAATTTTTGAAAAGTGCAACATAACAACTAAAAATGGATGGAGGAAGTATTATTTACAAAAATTTAAAATTGGAGTTAAAGTTGTATTTGATTAAGATAAAATATGATCACTTTTAAAAGAATAATTATTTTGAACGTACCTCCTACATGATGACTTTAGGTAATGAACACAAAATTGGATGAAATTTACTCTGCTAACGTCTACCAACCTTACCTTTTAATTATTTGTTAAAATAGCAAGTCTCTATACTAATTATATGTCTCACACATTGAAGGACAATAGATACTATTATTCATGTAACAAAAACGTGCAAATGAACCCATGCCACTAACACTGTGTTTGGATCATTGTTACCCATTGTTTCATAATATATTGTATTGTATTGTACTCTATTGTAATGTATTGTATGGTAGATACAATGTTTGGCTAGATCGTATTGTTTGTTGTTGTTTAATAACATTTTAATTGTTTGGTTTGATTGTATCATACTGTATTGTAATTTATAAATTTACTAAAATATCCTTAATTATTCTAGGATAGGATTTATAAATTTACTAAAATATCCTTAATTATTCTAGGGTAGGAGGTTTGACTAGAATTAAATAATATAAGGTAAAGGGTAAAATAGTATTTTGAAATATTATGTAAAGATATAATTGGAAAAAGAAATTAAGTAACGATGGGAACACACCAAATCGGTTGTTCCATAAAATAGGGGTTTTCATTGTTATGTAACAACGAAATTTAACAGTACAATACAATACAGTTTAAGTAACAATCAAAACAAACATTGTAGGTATAGTAACAATATAATACAATACAATGGTTAACAATGATCCAAACAGAGTGCAAGTAGCAATGTGGTGCTCTATCGCTTATATTCCACTCGATGTAATATTAATGTGATTATGAATAAGAAAAATCAAGGTTCTTTATTTATTAGTTTCTACTTCCAAACAATTGATTTAATACTCAAATCTGATTCAGATATGTTTGAATTTAAATTATAAGGTTTATAATCGTATGAAACAAACTCAAATCATCAATTTATCAAAATAACAATAAATTTAACAAGCTCATTTAACATTATTTTTATTTTTTATTTAATGTACATATGATTGATTGAAGTGTATAAAAATTGATTAAAACCTCAGTTATATGTGTTTGAAGTGCAATTTTTATTTTTTATTTTGCCCAATTATTCTTTGAGTTTCAACACTCAATTTACTCAAATTCAAAACTAAGTTTTATATATCATATAACGCAAACCCTATCCTTCAATCATTAATTTGTCAAAAAAAATAATCTAAAAAAATCATTTTGCATAATAGTGATTTGCCATTATTTTTAAGATCCATTCTTGATTGGTACCAAAATAATTAGTGGTATAAATCTCGATCGTACTTTATTGACATATTTTACTTGTGGGATAATGATAACTCCGTGCGATCCTAGCACATTAATATCAATTTTTGGAATTGTTAGCCTGTTATTTATATTCAATGGTGAATATAAATTATTAAAATGAAGTAAAACAAATCTTATTTAATTAAGGTTAGATAAAATGAACCATAAATTCAAACACATGATATGTATATATTAGATTGGTATATACATCATATGCAGGTAAATTTTACTCTTAATAATTATGGTAAGTAAAATTAGGTGTTGCAACTTAATTTTATTAGTGCAATAATCTCATGAATGGTTCTCCACCTGATGTCAAGTTTCAAGAGTCCTTTAAGAACAATGGACAATATTCTCAGGTAATATTTATTAATTTTACCAATTACTCTAGTTGAAGCCAAATTAAATAATAAATCCTACAAATTGATTTTTTTATTTTTACTCAAAACTTATTATTTAAGAATTATTTTGGAGACAAATAATAAATATTTTTATTTAATTTGATACTTTACATGTTATTCAGTGTAACTCATATTACATATTTATTTTTGTTGATTGTAAAAAAAAATGGTGTTAAAGTGACATAATATGATAGCTTGATATTAGGTATTTAAAATGAATAAAACTTATTTAAGGTGTCTAAGTGAAAATTTCGGGTCAATCTTAAGAGGCTATTGATGGATTCAACCTTTTAAGAAGCCCCACCTCCCATTTACTATTTTAAAACCCTTATGTATTTACCAAAGTAAAACATCAAAAAAATTTAATCTTTATAAATCAAGATAATAAACCATTTCATATATGAAAGTGGTTCTTTAAAGTAAACTTAAAATGAGTATTAGTTAATACTAGTTAGTCAAATAGAGGGAATGCATTCAATACTTCTTTCTTGGTTAAAAACAGTTGTAAAACATTATGGGATTGTTTGGTTGGTGAGATGAGATAGACAGGGATCATATTTCTTGGAATTAGCTATCATATCTTTTTTATGGATAGTTAATCCCGCCAATTTAGTAAAAATGTGAAATTTTAATACTAATATTCATAATCAAGCATACAATTAAATAATAAGAAACTTACATAAATCTCACTAGTTTAGGAGCTAATTAGTTAGATATATTTTAATTTGCTTATTTACGAATCTTACTAAATTTTGATGCATCCAACTACATGTATCTCAGGATACCGAAATATATGAGATAAAAATTAGATATAATTTGCAAAATACATTATATCCAAGTGGTTTACGGTGACTGGTTGAGTGTTGTATGGTGGTGAAAGAGGTCGGAAGAGATAGGGGGTTTCGTGATTTCCGGCGTGGAGGAGGAAATTGAGAAAAAGGGGAGGGTACAGAAATGAAGATGAACAAAATGGGTTATATTATTAGGTGGGTCGGGTCGGGTTAAAATTGGATAATTTAAGTTAAATTAGGCAATTTTAAATGATTTGGGATTTCCATCCAATTGAAGGACATAAATGATGAAATTAATAACGACAGAGATAACTTCATTTTAACGGTAATGACATAATCAACTAGTAAATCAAAATTAAAGGATATTTTTTACCCTTTTTTTCTATAAAATACATAAACAAATCTCGTGCAACGCAAACTCCCTCTCAATTAATAAGTAGGCATTTGGCCATGCGATACCATATCACGTTATGAAATCGTGAGATGGAATCAACGTTTAGACATGCGATTTTACGCTGATGGAATACCATATTCACCAAAAATCATGATATGGAATTATATGGGAATTCCATATCATGATTTGAGATTTTTTCAACACAAAAATTGATTCACAAGTTTATATTTTGTTAAAACAACCCCACAGACTTTTGGAGCTTGAAAAATAGATTCAAGATACTGAAACAAGGCATGAATCATTATGATATTGACACCAACACAAAAATTGATTCACAAGTTTATATTTTGTTAAAACAACCCCACAGACTTTTGGAGCTTGAAAAATAGATTCAAGATACTGAAACAAGGCATGAATCATTATGATATTGACACACAAGTGAAAATTGTCATAGGTTGTGCAGTGTTACATAATTATTTGTGAAAAGGAGTAATGAAATATTTATGGTCTATGATGATGAAAATATAGTTGAGATGATATTGACCAAAAAATGGCTCAAAGTAACAATGCTGGTTTGTCTTCTCGATCACATGATCGAGAAATGCAAGTTCAACGTGAGGAGATTGTCTGTATTATGTGGGAGGATTATATTAAAGACTTGTTCACTACAATTTATGTTCAATTTTTTTTAATTGAATTAAAGTGATATAATAGTTACTTAAGTGGGAAACAAATAGCTTTATAATAATTTATTATGCAATTTTATAAAATTTTGTTTATTTGCTAAGATTGCATAAACAATTTGGGCTATTTTAATAGTTTTACAACTTATAGATTCTTATGAGTATGAGAAAATATATAAAACAAAAATTTCATATCGCATGTCCAAATAAAACTTCAATTTCATCTCATGATTCCATATTATGATACCATATCATGATTTCATATCGCATGGTCAAACGGGCCGGAAGAGAATGGATTTTTTGTTTTTTTTGAAGAAAACCCACATAAAGTAAAATTTGTCATTGTACTTCATTGACACGTTTTAGTTATGGGATAATCTCATGGGTCCCGAATATTCATTATTTGTGGTTATCGTTAGCCTGTTGTCGGTATTGAATGGTGAATATAAATATATAATTAAAATATGAAGATTAGTTGTATGTGGGAACAATCTCTTTTTGACAAGTGTATTTGTGGGTCCTTTTCGTTGTCACATTTTTTCTCTCACTCTTCCATTTTCTCAAGTTTTAGTTTGTTCTTCATTCGCATTTTTTTTTCTTGGCAAAACATCTTTTTTATTTTATTTCTGCACCCTTTTTTTACCAACATTCCTACAGGTCTTTTCCTCCCTACCAAACACACCCTCAGTCATGGGATAATCTCATGCATGTGCGGTTTCGCTGGGACATTAATATTCATTTGTGGTTGTTAGCCTGTTATCTATATTGAACGGTGTTATTGCTTAGTAATATACATGGTAGGGATCTATGTCCAATCCTCCACCATTTAGGAAACTTGTATCCTTGGTGGTTGGAGTTAATATATATATATATTGAACGGTGAATATATAATTAAAATATCAAGATAAAATTTGCTCAATACTATTCATATTGGTGGTCTGATCCAATTTAGACGTTACAACACAGTATATATATAGTCCTTACTTTTAAATTAAAAAAAAATATGTTACTTTTCTTTAGGTTATTATAACCTAAAATAAAAGGTCATTTTTTGTTTGTCAAAAATGCCCTTAGCAGGTCTATAAATTGGAGATAGACTCGTAGCAAGTAAAACACACAAACAAAGATCAAAGATGAAGAAGTCTATTAGAATAAAAAATATTAAGATATTGAACCCGTGCTAGCACGGACACCTTTTACTAGTATATAGTTAACCAAGAGCCTATTTAATTTAGCTTTAACTTTTTATAGGTTTTACGCAAAAGCTAAACTTCTATCCTTAGAATAGTACTAGCAAGGAGGAACTCTTTTGAATTAGATGGACTCTGAGAGTGGAAACTGTCCACATCCGGAGTTTCCAATTTTGTACATATTGCAAATCTGGTAATAAAATATTACAGTTTCCAAAAAATTTAGCTTTAACTTATGATGTATAAATTAAAATATTATAAGTTAGAATTTAATTGTAAGCATCATAAATTAAAATATTACAAGTTAGAATATGTTTGAATAACTTATTTTAAGTTCTTTCAAATTTAATAAAAAAACACTTCTAAGGATGGTCTTGTAAAAGCTACAAAAATTCGAGTTTCATGACTATCCACAATTTCATTAACTTTCTTAGCTATAAAAATTAATGTGACCGTTATTTCTCAACTTTATTACTATATAATTGAAGTTGAGAAAATAAAACTGGGAACTTTACTACTAAATTTTAGCTATGAATTTAAAAGCTAGTCAGGGCTAATATCTAGCAATAGCTACAAAAGTTCGAACTTATGACTATCCACGAAATCATAAAATTTCTTAACTACAAAAATTAAATTGACAATGTTAATTTCTCAACTTTTTTACTACAATAAAAATTGAGAAAATAAAACTGGGAACTTTACTACTAAATTTTAGCTATGAATTTAAAAGCTAGTCAGGGCTAATATCTAGCAATAGCTACAAAAGTTCGAACTTATGACTATCCACGAAATCATAAAATTTCTTAACTACAAAAATTAAATTGACAATGTTAATTTCTCAACTTTTTTACTACAATAAAAATTGAGAAAATAAAACTGGGAACTTTACTACTAAATTTTAGCTATGAATTTAAAAGCTAGTCAGGGCTAATATCTAGCAATAGCTACAAAAGTTCGAACTTATGACTATCCACGAAATCATAAAATTTCTTAACTACAAAAATTAAATTGACAATGTTAATTTCTCAACTTTTTTACTACAATAAAAATTGAGAAAATAAAACTGGGAACTTTA